GGGGGGGGGGACATAAGTATGTTGATGGTTACAAGCAATATTTTTATCATAATCTTGTGTGAATATTTAATCTTTAACCCTGTGTAATCCATTCTCAACTCAACTGACACAGCAAAGCCTTGTCCAAATATTTTTGGGGTCGGCCACATAAATCTTTTTTCGCTATTGTGCTGAAGGTCTGTGTAATCAATTGCATTCCAAAAAAATGGACAGAATACTAATTTGAATAGTTTCTTTTATAGGATTCTTTGTACTTATAGTTCAATATACTGGCCTCAGGGATCAGCTTTACAAAGAGTGTGCAACAGCTTTACAAGGTGGGCTGCTGTTGAGAGGAAAGGACTTCAGTGTCATCAGAAAGGCATTACAGGAGGCTTTTGAGAATGCCGATGCAAAACTGTTAAAGTGGTGAGCTATCTGGGTTCTTTGACAGTTCATCTTTTCTTATATAAATACAGGCATGGGATATAGTCCCAATATGATCTTGTATTTTATATTATTGCATTGAAGGTTTAGATGCTGTTTCATTTTGTAAAGGCTTGAGATGAGCGGGGAGGAAGTCGAGTCTGGTTCAACAGCTACTGTTATGTTCATTGGAGATAACATGCTGTTCATCTCACATGTTGGTGATTCATGTGTGGTATANCGGGGAGGAAGTCGAGTCTGGTTCAACAGCTACTGTTATGTTCATTGGAGATAACATGCTGTTCATCTCACATGTTGGTGATTCATGTGTGGTATATCCAATCCTTCCATTGTAAAATTCTCATGATTCCTTTGCAAAATCCACACAAAACTATATCTTTGTTAACGCCAACACAATAGTGCTCTTCACAATCAAATGATTTCCCTTGTTTTGTTGGCCAACACTGATGCAGATTCTTTCCCGATCTGGAAAGGCAGAAGTACTGACCAATTCTCATCGACCCTATGGAAACAACAAGGTTTCTCTTCAAGAAATCAGGCGAATCAGAGAAGCAGGTGGATGGGTGTGTTTTTCTATTCTGAAATCCTTTTCATTCTCTAGATTTGCATTGGGAGTCTGTTCTGAATGGAAGAAAGTGTCTAATTTTGTTAATCCTCTTGACTTGCCCTGAATTTGTGCATAGCATTTCATAGTAGGCACTTATGCCATGTTCCTTTTAAATTACAACAACAAATATATTAGTTTCTACTAGAACTATAATTCAGAGATCAGAAAGTTAAGTTCAAGATCACGAACATATCATCTGTAGGCTGCTCCGTTGAAATTCCTTACAGGGACATCAAACCATAGCTTATGCCTTAGTGCTACGACTTCTGACTTGTTTCTTATACTCATCCTGGTTGTTGCATCTTTAAGGCAAAACAAGTTGGCAAACTGCTAATAAGCCATTAACACTTAATTATGGTGAGCACCATAGGATACAACTTGTTATCAAAATTTTAATCACAGCGCAATTTTTTGCTAACCAGCTTTTGCCCATCATTGTTCTATGAGATTCGGGTTGCAGTGTTTCTATACTCTAGAGCCAGTGGAGTTTCTGGTTTTCTATTTTTGCATTTCCTGAGTCAACCTTAGTTTCTGGTGAAATTGTGCATTTCTCTATTCATGAAGAGGTTTTGTCACACCCCCACCCTGGATCACATAGGGTGGGCGGCGGATCGGCCACCAAGGCCTTAATCAACCATTCCTGTGCATAATTAATGCAAAAAACAACGGAAGACAAATAATAAAGTGATCATTTTCACCGNTGAGTTTCTGGTGAAATTGTGCATTTCTCTATTCATGAAGAGGTTTTGTCACACCCCCACCCCGGATCACATAGGGTGGGCGGCGGATCGGCCACCAAGGCCTTAATCAACCATTCCTGTGCATAATTAATGCAAAAAACAACGGAAGACAAATAATAAAGTGATCATTTTCACCGACCTAATAAAAACCAGAGAAATAAACTAATATCACCGACATTATTATTAAACTCATGTAAAACAATAATTAATCCATAAGGTTCACTACTCTTAGCAAAAACAACATTGTTCTCAAAACAATCGAATACTTGTCTCAAAACTATAAAAAATATTTATTCCTGAAGACCTACAATAAAATAAATCTTCGATTCTTCTAATCCCTTGTCTATCTGAGGACTTACTACTCCTCCTAATCCTCACCTGAAAAATGTTAAATATTTGGGTAAGCACAAAGGCTCGTGAGTAGCAACCACCTCTAATGAGGTTTGAAAATAAATCCCACATTTCATATACACAGAAATAAACTTTGTTATATATATAAATACAATAAATTATACCCCAATCCCTTTCACATAACCATGTAAACAAAATGATCTCATGATCATAATAACTTTATAAAAGAAAAGACATTTATACCTCAAAACACTCACACACACATTCAGTCTCAAATACACTTGTCAAATTATGTTTGTTACCACTGGCCAGGTAATTGGCCCCATCTTTTGTCATCACTAGCCTGATGACTGGCCCCGTCTTTTGTTATCACTAACCTGATAACTGGCCTCTATGTACACATCCCTATACTGACTACGCCGGTATATAATCTCGTTACCATTTAGACCTGGTAACTCAATCCCCTTCTCATAAAATAAGATTTCAACACACACACTAAAACTGTTGTTTTAGTCCCATCGTACACAAAATTTCTCTTTTATCACNAGAAATAAACTAATATCACCGACATTATTATTAAACTCATGTAAAACAATAATTAATCCATAAGGTTCACTACTCTTAGCAAAAACAACATTGTTCTCAAAACAATCGAATACTTGTCTCAAAACTATAAAAAATATTTATTCCTGAAGACCTACAATAAAATAAATCTTCGATTCTTCTAATCCCTTGTCTATCTGAGGACTTACTACTCCTCCTAATCCTCACCTGAAAAATGTTAAATATTTGGGTAAGCACAAAGGCTCGTGAGTAGCAACCACCTCTAATGAGGTTTGAAAATAAATCCCACATTTCATATACACAGAAATAAACTTTGTTATATATATAAATACAATAAATTATACCCCAATCCCTTTCACATAACCATGTAAACAAAATGATCTCATGATCATAATAACTTTATAAAAGAAAAGATATTTATACCTCAAAACACTCACACACACATTCAGTCTCAAATACACTTGTCAAATTATGTTTGTTACCACTGGCCAGGTAATTGGCCCCATCTTTTGTCATCACTAGCCTGATGACTGGCCCCGTCTTTTGTTATCACTAACCTGATAACTGGCCTCTATGTACACATCCCTATACTGACTACGCCGGTATATAATCTCGTTACCATTTAGACCTGGTAACTCAATCCCCTTCTCATAAAATAAGATTTCAACACACACACTAAAACTGTTGTTTTAGTCCCATCGTACACAAAATTTCTCTTTTATCACCAAAATCATTTAAGCAATAATATAAAATCATCTCATAAGTTTTGCAAATTCACATGTATAACAATTCACAATTGCAAAAATATTTAATTGCAACCCCGAACATCAACATATATCATATATATGAAAAATTCACACACGCGCACCCACAAGTTTAATATAGAAAATCCTCCCAAAAGAAGTAATAAACCACTCACCTTGATTTCTAAAATTCAATTCAAACCACTCTTTCTCAACCTCAATGCAATCACCACCTAATTCAAAATAACATGTAACAAGCAATTCCTATTTCTAACTTTATCATTTCGTAATTCTATATTTAATTTACGTACTTTTTACTCTTTGATATATACTTAATATATCCTTTACATATAAACATCTTTTCTAATACGAAGGAATGAGATATGGAAGTATTCTGGACTGTTTAGAAAAAGTTTCTAAAATTTTGGGGTCAAATTATAATTTTTGAACTTTTGAGGTCAAAGTGTAATTTCCTTAAAAACAAATTTTCTGTCTTCGGGGCTGCTATAAATTTTTCAGAATTCTGTTCTTACAACTTACCAAGTAAAAAAAGTACTTAAAACTAAGTTCAGAAGAATAAAGAGGTTAAAATAAAACTCTTTGAAATTAAAGTGGAGCTTTTTATAATTTCTGGATTGGTTCTTCTACCTACGGTCATCCAGGTTGTTTGTTCTGCCACAACAATTCCAAATCCTTTTCTTTTCTTTTCTTTTTCAACCTATTGATTAGCCAATTATAAGTCTAAATTCAATCTAATAAATTTCAATAATAATAAACGATTATTATGAAACTCATTCTGTATATGTGTATATATACATATTACGCAATATCTTTATCATCAACCTAATATCATGTGATTGAATAAACTATAAAACCCATAAAATAAATAATAAACTCACCTTTAAAGGATTTAATCCACTTGTCTTCTTTCTCCTTCTTTCTTTTCCCTCTCTTTCCCTCTTTCACGTTATTTTTTTCTTCTTTGTTCATAGGTCAGCCTCCTCTATAAGCCTTTTCACCAAAAGACCCTACAACCTAAATATATTTTTATCTATATAAGGGTTTGACCTATCCAACAATACTACCTTATTTAAACTATATGTATAAGAGTCCTAATAGGTCTCTAGGTAAGACTTTTTATTAGAGATATATTAGTCTCTTTTTTTTTTTAAATTATTTTTATCCTTATATATATATATATATATAATTACTCCTAGGTAGCCAATGCACCAAAATAATATAATAATTTTTTTTTTTTTTTGGGTAATTACAGGTTTCCTGTCTGGATGCATGACTTATAGTCTTATGGGCTCTTTATTTGAATATATTTGAATTAATTCAACCGCTGTTCTTACTTTTATTGAACTATATTTCATGTGGTTGTGCTGAAAACCTTGATTTATTTTTGTTCTGGAGGTTTTATCAGAAAACTGCATGTTCTTCTGAGTTCAATTGTTAAATGTACATGATTGATGATGATTCTTGAAATGGAATCCCTAGATTGTCAATGGAAGAATTTGTGGAGACATCTCTGTATCCCGTGCTTTTGGTGACATGCGGTTTAAGACAAAGAAGAATGAGTACATTCTCTCTTTTTTCCCTTCTAAGTCATCAGAATTTTGTAGTCGAACTTTCCTCAGCTAACAATCTTGGGCTGTTTTACTCATGGAAAGGATGCTGGAGAAGGGTGTTGAGGAAGGCAGATGGTCTCAAAAATTTATTTCTCGGTAAAGTACCTCATGTTTGTGGTATTTAAGAATGTGGATTAAATACTTGTTAGTTTGCTTTGGATGTTCTTCATCATCATGTTTTGGATCCCCGAGACATTTCTGCATTGAGGTAGGGACAATGGTAGTAAAACTTGTTCGCTTTCTTAATCAGTTGTGTGGCCATATCCAAAATTCTGCCTATTTCTAAGTATCGCTTCAAAGGAAAAGCATTCAGAAATAGCTATAGCCATAGCCCTGGGCTGGTTTGAGGTGGTCCTAAATAAACTGTTTCTGGGACCTGCTTTTGATTAACATTTGCTAATGGATAAATGTTGATCTCTTTGGTTTTATCTCCACGTCAGTAATTGTTGGTTTGTTTGGAATTCCAATAATTGGAATTTCTAGTACGGGTTGATCAAATGTATACTTGCAATTACTTGTAGTCAATACAATTACCTGAGTGAATCATGGGAAATAACCAAGTCATCTTTTAAAGAGAAAATGTTCAAGATAATACCAATTCAAGAATTGATTTTGAATAACAAGTTGGATAGTTTAACTGGCAGTTCAATACTTGTTTGTTTGTTTAATGCAAATGCTTCTCTATTTTGTGCTAGGATACAATTTAATGGAGACTTGGTTGCTGCATCTCCTGATATTTTTCAACTAGCTCTTGGATCAGATGCTGAATTTTTGTTATTAGCATCTGATGGCTTGTGGGACTACATGAACAGGTCCATCATGATTCTTCAAACTATACTGTATAACAATTTAGGTTCAACTAACTTAATTGTTATTTATTCTCTCTTTCTTTGGTAGTTTAAGCATGAGAATACTATCATCTTATCAGATCTGCTATATTTCAGCTTGGATGCAGTTGCTTTTGTTAGGAATCAACTACGACAGCATGGAGATGTTCAGGTAAGCAATTTGCCTTCATAACTAGATTGGTTCTGTAGCAGACAGTCTAAACTTCTGTTGTTCTGATCTGATTACAGATAGCCTGTGAAGCACTTGGGCAAGCAGCTTTGGTATGACGTGCCAGGATGATCTTTTTTCCTTCTGCTTCATATCTAAAATTATTTACTTTGTCTGTTCTATTAACCCTCCAAGTTTATATATTACAGAACCAAGGCTCACAAGACAATGTCAGCATTGTCATTGCTGATTTAGGGTATGCACTTTTTGTTTGGCAGTAGTTGTTACCATTCTTGTGCTGTGACAGTTCATTTGACTGGATATTCGGTCTCTGACCTATAGTTGGCTTTATTAACTACAGGATGAATTTCAAAACTTAGTATTATATAGTCTCTTCCAATTGACTTTTCATTGTATTTATCATCTAAATGCCTCGTGACTGAATTCCTGTTTATACTGCTATTATTTTCAAAAATTCTATTGAACTCAACTTTATTGTAACAACTGTTTCTTTGCCCCTGCTAAAAGGATAGATGTGACTTGAGCTGAGTTGGTGGAGATATTGGAGCATATACAACTATTTTATTGATTAAAGAATGACGCCCCCTTCCTTTCTTTTTAACTTTTCTTTTGCTCTTGGCTGTGACTTGTGCACAGGCATACAGATTGGCAAAGTTTGCCTCTGCCGCAACAAAACATTTTGTATGAATTGGGCCAGGCTTTTGCAACTATTGGTATTGTTTCAGTTGGAATATGGATGACTTCTCAGCTTCCTTTATGAGTTTGAAGCCTGCCGTCACTGTATACAATAATTCAACCTAGATTTTTACCCCACATCTATTGTTTGTAAATATACGTCCTAAATCTTAAATGGATTAGCAGGTGCACAATCTGAAGAAAATTTTAATAATGTTTTAATATTCATTGCTGATGCATATATCATTGCAAGAATCACATTTGCTTATCTTTGATGCATCTATCATTGATTTCTTATTTCACCCTGATTCTTTAGTGGCATTTAGTTGCACCATTGCATGCATGAGTGAAGACATGGACTGAGAACCTTTTGGATGCAACTGGCAACATTTCTTACCCTCTAAAAAGTGAGATTTCGGTGTCCTTTCATCATTATTTTGTGTTCACTGTGTTTGCTCACTGTAGGTTCTCTCACTTGGTGGAAGAGAAAAAGATTAGTAACCAAATTTTGCAAGGTACTACAAAAAATGAACCAGCTTTGTTAATTAGTGCCTTGCTGCCTTATAGTACTAGAGAAGCAATAGCCAGAGAGAGAAGTACACAAAGATCATCAGAAATACCATCTTGAATCACCTGCCTTATTATGCCCACAAGAGGACACCAGCATTATTAATATATCTATATAGCTCATACTACATAGCTCATATAATATGCTATATTATGTCTCCTCATGCATTATCAAAAATATGTCTGGAAAGCATCTAGCATACAAACTGGGCTCACAAGCATCATGAGTGGAGTCAGTGGTTCTTGCCACCACCTCCACCAGGTTTCCCCTTCCTGGGATCATGCTTGGTGTTGGCTCCTGCATCGTCATAATCTAACACTGATTCGTGCACCAAGAGCTTCCTTGAATTTAGTCGGACACCGCCCTTCACAAAACACAAAGTAATGATAAGCAAAACTCATGGAACTTATTCATTAAACGTCGGTGGGAAGAAAGTGTTGTGAACTGTAATTTTCCCCGTCTACATCAATGTTTACATGTGTTCTGTGATGCTACTGCTATGTAGTTTTTCTACATGCATTACTGCCAATTTGCATCATACACAGCTGGCATCATGTTAGTTCCAGTGTATTTGGCACTGAAAAAATTCAGGCATGCAAAATCTGTCAAGAATACTACATTCATGTGCTAAAAACTACCTTGTGGATTGAGGAAATGGTATTCACGCCATCATCAAAACCCTTAACTGTGCCTAGATAGGAGAAAACAGAATTAGATATAGCATTTATGTTATTTAGTAGCCAAATGAGAAGTTTAGAAATCAAGTTACAGAATACATTGAGAAGTGGCTCACCTGCAGATGAATAAATGAGTAAAATGAGGAAAACAGAAAGAAAGGTCACGATCCTAACAGCCATGGCCGATTTTGATTTTGTTGTCTTCAGTGTCAATAGGATGTAGACAATAGTTTTAGGATGAAAGCTTGGAGGTGGAAGGGGGACTCCTTTTATTCTTATTTCGTGCTAAAGAAAGTGCCTTGAGAGCTGTTGTGATAGTGCACCCCACCCAACAGCTTTACCATGATGATAAAATGCATCATCTATGAGCGACAAGATAGAAATCAACCGCACCTATATTTCTTACATCAAATCAATCGTATGCCTGTGGACACCTTCATCAATCTCTTGCATGGCTCAAACTTTGCAGTGTTCAGCTTGCCTTTTGATTCTTTCACTTTTTTATAAGTCAATCTTCTTTTCTTCCATCCACTCTATCATGGCATAGTGGGTAAAATAGTGAAGGATCAAAATATCGTTTCAAAACGGTTGAAACGTCCGAAACGTTTTCGTTTTCAAGGAGACCAAAACGAATCAGTGATGAAATCAAAATTCTATAGTGTTTCGAGATGTATTATAATATTTCAATGCATTTTCATAATTATTTTGAAATGTCTTAAAGTATTTAAAAATATTTTGATATATTTTAATCAATGTTTTAAAAAAATAATTCTTAAATTTTTTATTTTTTTCATTATATTTCCGAAACGGATTGAAACGTTTTCGTTTCCTAAGTGATCGAAACAATATACCAAAATAAAATTTTGATCATTGCAAATAGCTGATGTTAATCACCAATCAAATTCTTACTTCTCTGGTCTCCTTTTGTTTCAATGGTAAATAAGACCATGCAGACTGTATCAGTGCTGCTTGGATGTACAACTGTTGGTGTTAGACTTATTCATAGAATGTAAAAAGATAGAACTAATTCCCATGCTACTGTAGTTAGTTGATTTTATTGTGTCGCAATGGTAAGGTTGCTTCATTGTGACCTAGAGATCATGGGTTCGTGTTACGAAAATAACTTCTCTGCTTGCAGGGGTAAAATTTGCGTACATCTAATTATTCTAGACCCCGCAATAGCGGAAGTCTTGTGCACTGAGTATGCTCTTTTACCGTAGTTTTTGACTGATTTTTCAATTTTTCATTGTTCACATAAAAAAAAACATGTTTACAAAGCACACTTTAAATCAAAAACCTAGAAAACTTATTTTGTAAACACGCTTTCACATTGATATGAGTGGGTTTAAAAGTCTGCTAAGCAAACACAAAACATAGAGTTTTCTCATTTTGGGTGAACTCTAACCTTACTTTTCCTAAAAATTTTCTATCCTTTTGGAATGTGAAATTCCCTGAGACAAGTACCTCTACATCTTCTTTTCAAATCACCAAACACCACCTTAAAAGTTTGTACCTCTCTGATCCTTTTATTTCGGCTTTGTCACTTTCCTAAATTTGATTTGGGGGACAGTGGCCTACATATGAAATCAATGTAAAAGATTTTCTTAGGGTTGAATAGGAATTCTGGTGAGCCATTAGTTGGCAGCACTACCAAAAGGCAGACAACACCACAGAACACAACACTTTAAACTCCTAAACACTGAATCTGTCTTAGTTATTTATTAAGACAACAGGTTAGATTGATTATCTCTTGTCCTGGAGTAATGATAGTGTCTTTTGGAGCTTAATAGAATGATTAAGCTACTAAAACTCTCCCCTCCACAATGGTTCTATCATGTTGGGAAACAAAATGACTGTGGGTTTTTAGACAGGCATACTACTGAAGCTATAACCATTGAGTGACAAATGTTACAACTAGGGGTCTAAAAGGTGTCGGGTTAGGTCATTTTTGTATCGGGTTGTGTGACATCCCAAAATTCGGGTGTCTGTAATTATCCGATTGATCATCCATCGACCCGCGAAATACTTGTGGATATCATGTAATTCGATATCACACCGTTATGCCCCATTTCTCGGGATTCATAACTTAACAAAATTTGGGCAAAGTCTCCTTTGTACGAGGAGCTCTACCCAAAAACACAATCTGTACAATATTGACCGCACCGGGTCTTTCTATCCATTCACAATTGTATAGTCTCGAATACTACCATAATCATCATCAGTACATACATTTATTCGTAAAAGAATAAATGTCTCAAAAGAGTCCCATATACATGCTTTTGTAAATATAAATAAATGTTTGTTACAAAAATTATACAAGGCCAAAAGTAAGTATAAACAAGGGACTACAATATCAAAATAAGAGCCACAGACCGGCTCTGTCGTCAAAGCGGGCCCATGGCCTCACCTTCGGTGGACACCTGAAAAATGTTCCCATAAAGGGTGAGTCAACGCTCAATAGAGTAACTCCTATAGAGAATACCTCTCAACTTAAATGCATATGGAATGTCACATGCAACAATCATTCAAATATGTTTATTATGATTGAATGTTATAAATCATGTCATGCCATGAGATGAGACTCACGCAAGCAATACCAACCCCAAGCCCCATCCTGAGCTCCCATAACACATGCAATGTCATGCGTATGTATCCGAGCATTCCAAGCCCCCATCATTGGTGTTATGTACACTCAATGCTAATTAATTCATTTTCTTGTGTCTTTGTGGGGAGGTAATTTATGGTATTACACTAATGGGACACCAACCATCAACGGATCTTCAGGACATCCCACCTGCGGCTCCGTTTCCGCCGTTACACTTTTTTGGAATTTCACCGCCGGAAAGTGTATAAACCAAGTAAGCGGGTCTTGCACCCGAGGGAGAATCTAGCCATTCTTGCTGTCCCTAACACATTTATTCATTTAATTTTTCGTGCGACTCAGCTGAACCTTGGTGCGACTTTTTCGAGTCCACGATCAACCACCTACGTGGTGATTGATTTCATACCATGCATACACTCTCACCCATGTCAATGCCCATGAATGTAGTGCAACCCATGCATAATGAAATACAATGTCTATTACATAATGAATACAATATAATGACATTTTAACACGATCTCAAGCATGTTATGTAAGATAATCAACTCAACTAACATACTTGTATTCAACTAGACATTTAATCAAACACCTAAAGAGCACATCAATTTACACAACTAGCATGTTATGACTTGCAACATGGCAACCTGTTTATTAATTATATAAACATAAGCACAAGTCCACCAAAATAATCATATGTTAAATAATCATTTAACATATATATATTATTTCACAATCATATAACAAGTTAATAATTTTATTAAACTTGATCTGCCATTAAAATATAAAGTAATGCTAACATACAATTAACATGCTTTAAACTACTAACATTAACTTACACCAAGTTAATCACAATAGAATTTTATTAATCACAAGATTAATTATAAATTCTATANTGCCATTAAAATATAAAGTAATACTAATATACAATTAACATGCTTTAAACCACTAACATTAACTTACATCAAGTTAATCACAATAGAATTTTATTAATCGCAAGGTTAATTATAAATNCAAGTTAATAATTTTATTAAATTTGATCTGCCATTAAAATATAAAGTAATACTAATATACAATTAACATGCTTTAAACCACTAACATTAACTTACATCAAGTTAATCACAATAGAATTTTATTACATCACAAGATTAATTATAAATCTTATATTTGACCAATTAGTCAAGACCTAACATGTGATATACACTCATAGTCTACTCATTCCATATGTTATATTTTAAGTTGAAATTAAATCTAAATAGGGGAAACCCTACCTCTCGTAGCGTGAGCCCACTTACTAGAACGCCAAGGAAGTCAAAATTTAACTTCCTAAATTTTAGGCTTAGATTGTCGGCTTTGATATTCTTTCAGAGAAAAATACGATATTTGGTGTGGTTGCGTAGCTCTCGCTGAGTAGAGCAACTTTAGTTCTTGGCCCAAANAACTTCCTAAATTTTAGGCTTAGATTGTCGGCTTTGATATTCTTTCAGAGAAAAATACGATATTTGGTGTGGTTGCGTAGCTCTCGCTGAGTAGAGCAACTTTAATTTTTTGCCTAAAACGATTAAACGGTTAAATTTTCGTAGATATAAGAAGGAAGAAAAGAAAAAAAAACAAAAAAAAACTTACTTTTTCTTTCACTCTCTCTGTCTCGCCGGCCGGAGAAAAAGTGAAAGACTTTTTAAAATCTTTCACTTTTATATATCTATAGAATAAATTCATTATTTTAAAAATTTATCTTTTTGACCCATACTTTAACAAATAATTATTATTTTACCCATTTAATTAGGATTTTTAATAATAATAATTTTTTTTTTCGAGTTTTACAGGTTGATTTCGAGTTTGTGTTGAAAATTTTAAAACTCAAACCTGACATGTTTAATAATTATGTCGGGATGTGTAAATACTAACTTAACGTAATCATTAAACGGGTTATTCGAACCCGACCTATTTGATACGTTTAATAAATAAATTATTTTCAGGTTAACACACATAACATGATCTGTTTAATTTGTTTAGTACACATAACATAGATTTGTTTAACACACATAACCTGTTTTTACACTAATTTATTACCATTTAATACATCATTCATCCAAAATTTCAAATAATTTTTTTAAATAACATATCACTTCTCAATCCAAAAATTAAAACAAGAATTATACTAATATACTGTCAAACTAATGTTAAGAACTATACTGTCAATTATCATAATAGAAGGAAAAACTAATAAATACTAATGTTAAAGATTACATCAGTCATACACAATAGATAAACTATTGTCATTGATGGGACTCTTCTGAAATGCCCTATGATGAAGACACGTGTCCTCGGGGTTTGTCAAAACACTGTTGCTTGGATCAAGCGCCATCAGCGAACGAATGTCCTCGCCCCCGAGGTACATCATATAGGATCATGCATTCAGTATATTGTACAACCAACACGTGTCATCGGTCACCCATGTACCTCGGTCGCATACCTCCCTCGGTCCTCGAGACGAGCCTTTCCTCGATGCCGAGGGTTGCTCCATCCTGGACGCTTCCTCTACTTCAGGATAAGTTATTGACGTATAGGTCACTAGCCTAGGCTAATCGAGGCTGCTCATCATGACCTCGTTTTACACAAGTAATGTCAGAACATACTGGAATACAGTAGTCACAGCCAATAGGGGATGGACGTGTGACAAATGATGTCACATCAAAGATAAACAAACTGCACGTCGTTACTGACATACGACTTGGGAAAGCAAACAATTAATTGCACCCTTCTGATGACGAGATCGCATTAAATGCGGTAAGGTTCGGATATGAAAGGCAATAAATGCTCCTATTACAGAGCATTTATTGCATCCTCCCCGAAAGAAGCATATTGTACCGTCGGCATCCCGACGACTCAGCATTGATTGCTCGGGACCCCGAGCAGTCAATTAGAGAAGATATTCCTCATCAGAATCAATGCACACGTTACATGTGCCTAATGATCACCTACTGACCACACTGACAGCAATCATGAGCTTTTAAGGTATAAATACTCCTCCCAAAAGGCAAAGGAGGGACGCAACAAAAAACTCTCTACTGCAATACATCTTTCTCAGTGTTTTCTTCTTCCTCTCTCTCATTCAAAGACTGACTAGATCGTCGGAGGGGATACGCCGGAACACACTCCGACACCCTTCTAACTTGTTCCTCTTTATTCCAGGAAAACCTTTCACACGTACAGGATCGTTCTTCCTTTCCCAGGATCTTCCGTTGCCGTTCCAGGTTACCACCGTACCTTACAGGCTGTCTCAAGCAGCGTGTTTGGCCACTCAACCGGCCCACTCAAAGTTCACCAGGGGAGAGATCTGTTCCCATATTTTTTTTATATATTGTGCAGGATCTTGCACGCACAGTCATAAACAGGTTAAACGGGTCTACAATGGATTATGTCAGGTTCATGTCCGAATCATGTCAACCTGTTTAAAATATACAGATTAATCAGGTCAAAATCGAGTTGACATAATTTTGACATGAACCTGACATGATTTTTTTCTTATTTAAGCAGACTGACCCATTTTAATCCATTAACTCATTTAATTTTGTATCTGACTCATTAATTTCGTGTTCGATTTGTGTTGTGCCGAAATTTTTTATTTTTTATTTTTTTAGTTGGAGTGATTCAACACAGACTTTCGTGCCGAAAATTGACAGCCCAAGTTACAACCGAAAGTTCAGCCGTTCAACAATGCAAAAGACCTTGATAAAAGGTTGGTTGATAGGTTGACGAGGTTTTCGATCTATGTAGCTTTTATGGCATTGTCTTATTAGAAAAGATTGTTGGTCTATTTATGTATATACTTGTCTAAACTGTTGTGAGTGATGAACCTAAAATAAACAAAATCATATGCAATTACCAGTTAGTTATAGTGAGATCGCAATCGAACCCACCTCTAGTGGTTGGACAGGTCCTTCAAGGACGCTTGCTTAGGTGGGTACGTAGTGACAAGCTCAAGGTCCTTAAGTGGGCCCACATAGGGACTTGTTGTGCTTTAGGGAGCGAATTGAGTTTTAAAACCGTGAGCAGCTATTCACAACGGACAATATCATTGAATTATTACAAAAAACTTTTCTACATTGCCAAATTTCGAATTGACATTTTGTGGTGCAGATTTATTTTTTCCCTTTTTTGAGTGTGTGTGTGTGTTCTTGCACATGCTTGTGCTATCACACAACTTTCAACAATCTCCAGCTGCTCTTGTCGTGAAAGTTTTCGTAAGAAATTTGGCTATTGAGTGGAGTTTGATATAATCAATCAATGGTAGGTGCATAAGACAGTCACTGTTTTGGTTGGCAGGAGGCAGGAATGAGAGGGTAAATGCTCTGAGTAGCAGTTGAAATCACTAAGCAAGTGCTGAACGTGGCTCATCCTATTCAATTTGGTGCCTGCTCCCCCTCCTCTTTTGTCATTGCACTATTTGGTTATGTCTTGTGATAGAAGCCCACCTCGCATTTTTTCACATGGAGGATTTCCTGAGAAAGAAAAAGGGGAAGAAAATTTGTCTACCACCACTACTTACTTCAAAGGGGGATGGTGGCAGTCATATCGCAAATATTCAAAGGATATCTTCACCGCACTATCTTATACTTCGTTTTTCTCTAACTTTTTTATTTTTATTTTTAATTCACTAGCCTATTAATACGTGTATAACGCGTCGGTTAGTTACGAAAATATGTAGATTGTCTTGCTGCTTGTGGAGAAAATATTCTAGGCAATTGTGACACCAATTCGTCAGGGTGTCACAAGTCAATTAGAAAATGACAAATGAATAAAGTGAACCTCACTGATTTTGTGTTAGTAATTAGATGCAATAATTACTAATAGTTATAAAAATAGTGAAATTTATTTTGTCCACATGTAATTTTTTAATTAAATAGTGACACCACGTGACAATGATGACGTATCACAGTTATATTGAGAGAGAGAGAGGAGACAGTGGAGTAAATATGAATATGAATGCAACAATAATATCATGTCACTATTAATGATATAGTATCAACAACCAATAATAAAATTCCAAATTAGCAACATAAACCTCACTTGAACTTACATCAAAGAAAAGTGAAAATAATTTGTTTACTCAACAAATTAGTTATTAATTTTTATAAAATTCATCTGCTTATTTATTTTAATATAATACTACTGATAAGTGATACCACGTCACATTAAATATTTTCTTGAAGCGGTGACCTCGTACCATCACCACTACGTGATGTCACCATTCAATTAGAAAACTACAAATAGACCCGCTAGCTTCATAACTATAATCATCACATAAAACCATCAACACATAAAATTAATGTGGTATACTTTATCCACTTGTAATTTTCTAATTAGATGGTCAAACCCCACCATTGTTATTCTGGATAAATTTGCCAAAAACTGCCCAACAAATTCTGCACCTAATTTCCCACATCAAATGATGCAGTACGGTGTGCATCATGTTTACAATCCTCGAATAAGTGGGTTTTAGTAATATTTGATAAAAAGTAACATTACTCGGCCATGGAAAAACTTATCAGAACGAACGAACGAACTTACTTGCCCATGTTTCTGGCCTCAACTTCGAAAACCTGGCAATGGTATACATAAAAACCTGACCAATCGATGCACATTTCACACTTAACATGTACAAAATAGCAATATAAAGCAAGAACAAATTTACATAAAACCTTATATAATGTATCATTCGAAAGGCCAAAAAAAAAAAAGAGTTGAGGCAAGACCACAAAATACATTGCCTCTCCTTCCCAACAAGGGAAACTCCAATCCTCTTCCCTATCCTTTAAAGGTCATCACAATTGATGACAAGCTCAAAATATTTACTCTTTATGGATAGAGGAATCAAAATATGATCACACAATCCAAGCATGATACAAAAAGACCTGTACTTTATGAGAGAACGGGAATTATTTAAAAAAAAAAAAAGGCAGCAGCAGCAAATTACGATTTCATGGATGCATTGTATTCAACACTTAACTTTTACAGACCTCCTGCTGACAACTGACAAAAATGAAATGTGTATGATGCAAAAGAGTAGGTAAAACCCCAACCTCCAAATGTATATATGGAAACAGAAGTGAATGAGACTCTACAGAATCTGACTATGACAACGAGATGCAGAAGACTATTACCAATGCGAGACAAATTGACCAAAAAAAGGGGGAAAATAAGTTATGGGAAGAAGATGAAATTAAGAATGCGGTGACCTTAGGAGTGAAGTGAAGCTTTGCATTTTGACCTCCGACCCAATTGGAGAAGATGGCACCACTGGGGTGGCATGGGCCATTCATTGCAATATGAGTTAGACTGAGAAAGAACCAATGACCAAGCAGCTTCACTTGTCTATTCACCACATCACATCTACAATTCATTACCAGTTTCCCAATCTTCCAGCACTGACAACATAAATCTTTCATAGTCCAAGAAAAGCCTTTACCAATTCTGAGAAACCATCCCTCCCCACTCCCTTGGTGACAATAGACAATAACCCGACCCCATGGTGCTGATGCAAGAGTTAGTGACAACTTCAAGACCAATTACTTCAGTTGTCAGAAAATGGAGATGACCTGACATGTTGAATGCAATCCTGGACCCCCACTCGACACACTCATATGCATGCAGGGACTTCTAAAAGCAAAAGTGTATACCAAGTGGCCAAAGCCTCAAACAGAAATGGCACGGCTGATAGCCAACTTGGCCCACTCGGCAGATTCTTTAATCAAATGGTCATCTGAGGACAAGCATTCGTTTAAAAAGTCTTTGCTTGAGAGGGATTGCTGAATCAAACCACTTGCATTACTACCCAGTGTATCTGCTAGATCTCCAAGAACCCCAATCGCAGTTTTCATCACCACATCATCCCTGAGAGTAGACGTAATAAAAAAGGTTAGAAATTAAATAATCAAACCAAGCAAACCAGATATATTAAGTGACAAGAATTATTGCAGCAATGACTCACATGTCTTTCTCCATGTAAATGCTATCCAGGAACTGGAGGATGTGCGGTGCATAAGGAATCAACAGCTGAGTTTTAGGAGAGTTTTTAAAACCTTGAAAGATCCCCGAATAAGCCTCCAATATTCCATTTCTTAGGAGATTGGTGTACTCGATCATTTCATCATCCGCACCTGATGTGTGGGCAGACAACTCTGCCGCACTCTGGAGCATAGGCATGGCATACATCAAATACTTCTCAAAATTTTCCCCTATTGCAAGGGATACGTCACCAAAGCATGAAAAAATAGGAGGTTTCACAGATCTGTGCAACTGGTTGCTTGACAAGTCTTTAAGGAGCTGGGTCATAATGCCATCGCAGTAAGGCAGAACCTTATCATCCAACGCCCTGCATATATCACCAACGACACCCACTGTGACAGCACAGACTTGGTATTCCTCAAAATTCTGAAGACCCATTTCCAAGTACTTATAAAACTCTGGCATGTACTTTGCAAAGTCTGAGCCAGCGGCATAGGCAAGGGCTCCAATGGCAAGCATTGCCTCCTCATGCACAGTCGCACTTCTACAAGCAAAAACCCTGAGAAAGAGACTCATGATTTGATCTGCATATTGCATGAAGACGTACTTAGTCGACTCTGATGCCCCTAACTTCTGAATGATGACCTGTAAGCAACCACAAAGAAGCCCTTGCAACTCGTTCTGCTTCTCTCGTTCATCAGATGAAAGCTTCTGTGCTTCAAGAGTTTGGTGAAGCTCCATCATTATAACAGGAACTAACTGCAAAACCATGGGAGATGTTTCATCCGTCGAACACCTCACCACTTCATTCACTGTCTCATATGCAGCAGTCCTCAATCGTGACTCCCCAGCATCCTCTCTGTGAGTAACAGTGAGAAGTGACTGAACGATTTCCTGGAAATAAGGAGTTAGGGGAGATGATATGCCCACATCCTCGTAACCTTGAGCCAGAAAATAAAGAGCACCACAGGCCTTCTCGGCAACATTTGGAGTGTCTTTCATGCTCTGAAGGAGAATGGTGATAATCTGCTGGCAATTTCCCTGAGTAATAATGGGCGTCTCCACAGTTGAACCATGAAGGAATTCGAATATTCTTCCCAGAGTCCAAGCTGTTGTGTCCTTCACGTGGCTATTAGGGTCATTTGTCAATGCAGTGAGCATGAAATTCAGTGCAACATTTACAGTGGGAATTAACTTGTCAGGAGACGGACCCTCCAAGATAGAACCAAAGGCGTAAGTGGCTGCCTCTCTCTGCCTCCAATCAGGCTTTGTTATGTTCTCTTCAATGAAAGGCATAACAAGTGGGACAATCTCGTCTCCCACTGTCCGTGCAACCAAACCAAGGCAAGTTCCCCCAGCCATAGCAAGATTCCAAGCTCCTTCATCCTGATCCTGATCTTCCTCCTGCTTAAGAAGTGTCTCCAACAGCATAGGAACAAGTGCAGGAAGAGCCTGCTTAATAAAATAAAAGCAAGGGACATCAGAGTCTGCGGTAAATTCACCCCCATACTCTTCCAAAATATCTATCTCCTCGTCACAAATTGAGCTCCAGAACTCAACGGCTTGAAGAGCAACAGGCTCTTCATCTTCCTTCACAGCCTTTGCCGTGATGTTAAAAATATCCTGGATGTATGGAGCTAATTTCTCATAATAAGTTGACGAAATGGAGACCAAACACTCAAAAGCTGCCTGTCGAATCTTCAATTCTGGAGATAAAGTTGCCTCACAAACAACTCTCATAATATAGTCACGCTCCATATCATTAGTAAAATTTGCCTGAGCGAAGCCAAGAGCATTATACAATGCTCGCGTAGCAGCAAGTCGCACATCATTGTTCCCTTCAGATGCATTCATACCCTGAACTACAGCTGTAAGTATTTTATTTACTTGATCTTGGTCTATGACATCTGGAGAAACTTCTTCACACAAATACCCAAGAGTTTCTAAAGTAGCTTGCTTAACATGAACAGGAGCCTGGTGAATGTTTGACAAGAGGGATCCTATCAGTTCAGGCCACTGTTTCTGCGGCAGCTCAATGCCTGCAACCTTTGCAACGACTTGTGATGCAGTTGAACGAGCATCAGGCACAGGAGATGAGAGGGTCTGTAGCAAGCATGTCTTGATCTGGGTTTTCAGCGCCACATCTAGTGACAACCATCTTTGAACAAGCTCAAACTTCCTATGTTGTTCCTTCGCATCCAAAGCATTTTTTAGAATCAGACCTGCTAATCTCCGGCTGTCGACAGGTTTCTCATCACTAGCAAGCTCCCCAGAAAGAGACAACAAGAATCCAGCGAGATTTTGCTCCTGAAACTGTTTCAAAGTTTCCTCTGCATGTTTCCGCACGGTTCCATCCACTGCTTGTGCATTCAAAAGCACCTGGGTGACTTCCATCACGCTTGTATATCTGAGAGTATGACGCACTTCATATATTAGAGGTATGAATAATCCAAAAAAGGCACATTGAATACATCTAAAACACAACTAAGTCACAATTCTATCATACAAGAACAAGGGGGGAAAAGGACAAAAAAAAATGCTATAAATTTTAATTAAACTGCAAAATTTAACCAAACAACTCTATTCCACATTCCAACCTGCTACCAATTCGGATGCTGGGAGAGAAATGTGGCAGAAAAAGGGAAGAAAAATTGAAATCTTGCAGTTAATAGCGTTGAAATTCCTGCAAAAACAAAACTCGTCCCAGTAAAGCCGATTAGTAGGACAGAGCTGAATGTCGGGAAGAGAGTTGTGTCAAATTGTCAACCATTTTCCTTCCATACAACAGCTCAATGACAAAACCAGGCATTAAAAAGATCTAACATTCCTTAAGAAATGATCTAAGGCGAAACAGTTCAGCCAAGTTTCTCTGAATCAATTAGGGACGAAGTGAACAGCATAAATAACAAGCCTTTGAGAAACAGAAAGATCCTAAATACTTCAATAATAGATAAAATTACCCGATTATTCACAGAAAACACCTGAAACAAAAAGATCTACAAAATAAAACACGACAGTAATCCACTTGAGCAGAACATGACGGGGATTACTAAGCGGAATACAAAAATCTTAAATGAAACCAAATTATTACAGATCCGAATAGAAGGCAAAGTTATACCTTAAGTAATCAACCTAGCATCTAACTGTTCCGATGCAGAAAGTGTAAAGCTACAAAGGACTTTAAAAATCCCAGCTGGATCAACACGAATCAAAGATCAATACATACTACATCATTCAGCACCGATAAAAACTGAAATCTATCGACCAAAACCCCTAATTTCACCATATCAAATATCCACATAGCCAGCTAATTAGCACTCAAATAGTTCAGTTCTTTTACAAAAATTAACTGCACAGAGTTACCAATTTAACAACATTAAACAGACTAGACAATTAAAACTATCAAATCTGAAATCTGACACTACAAGTTTCGGTCCCCGAATACATTTACAATTTTCACAAAATAAGCAAAAAAAAGGTAAATATTGAGGATTGAATCCTAAGGCATCAGTAGGAAAAATCAGATCAACGTAGTACAGATCCAACATCAAAATCAGTATATACAAACCCTAACTCCGATGAAAATTGAACAATAAAAAGATGACTATAGTAAAGTAATGATAGAACTACCTGACAATTGCGGCGGTAATGAGTGAAGAGACTACACTCCCGGATCGAGACCAAAAGCGGCGCTCTGAAAGCCCTACGAGACAGAGAGAGAGAGAAAGAAAGAAAGAGAGAGAGACAGAGGGAGAGGGAGAAAGACGACGCGGATGTAAAGCTGGAATTGAATTAATGCTTAGGGTTAATTACAAAATGCTCCTCCAAGTTTGGGTCATGTTATAATCGACTCCCTCATGTTTTAAATTCGACAATTTATCCTCTTCATGTTAGAATATTTTCTAATTAACTCTTCCGTTAGTTTACACCGTTAAAAATGACAGAAATTTGATATAAACATTATCTAAAATCGACAAAAGTATAAAATTGCCAATATCTTAATTTTTTGAAAAATAAAATAAAATTCAGTTTGACCTTAACTTGCACGGGTGAAATCTCAACTCCCTCCCTCTTTTGATGAAACCCAACCCCACCCACCACGCTCGAACAACTAAATTACTCCTCTTTTTTGGTAAAACCCAACTCCCTCCTTCATCTGATTTGTATATATATACACACACAACTAGATTCAATGGTTGCTGTGAAAGTGGGGTTTTGGAGTTTGCTTGTATTGGTATGGGAGAGGCTAGTGAAGGTGGGTTTTGGGGTGCTACCATCATTGGGTATGGGGGGTAGGAGATTGTCGGAGCAAAAGGGGGGTTGGGGCGCAATTGCTGGAGTAGGGGAAAAAGGATTTGGGAGGCATCGTTAGAGCGGGGGTGGGGGTTAAGGGACTACTGGAACAAGAGGTGAAGGGTTGGGGACTGTCATAGTAAGAGGTGGGTGTTAGGTACGCCGTCGAAGTACGAGAAAGGGGTTGGATGCCTCGTTGGAGTTAGGAAAATAGGTTGGATTCATAGAGAAAATAGAAAATAGAATTAGATGTTAGGGTATTTTAGAAATTTTGTATTTTTCATCCACTATCTCAATTAATTTAAATCAAAAAAAATTTTCAGTTGGCAATTTGTTGAATTTAAAACGTGAGGGAGTCGATTGCAACATGATTCAAACTTGGAGGGAACATTTTGTAATTAATCCTAATGCTTAATATCTTTATAATTTTTCCAATAATATTTTACTGGGACTTGTTAGGTGGAGCCCTGACCACGGCAGTTACCGTATGTCGTTGATTGTTTTGAATACAAGTGTATATCTCAAATGCAAATAATCAATAATATTGATTTAAGGGTTTTATTGTATTCACATTGACTAAAAACACATTTACCTCTCATATCTCCTATGCTACTCTTTCGATTCCTTGATTTCAACTGATTAGGCAATTTCTTTGGTCGAACAAAAATACTTATAATGAGTATGTGAAGATTAAAAAAGTCCGTCGACCACCCCCATGACCATATTATAATAGATTCAAATATTTGTATCGGATCGACTTTTAAATCATAATTATTCTCATGAATATTCATTACAACGGTTATACTATGTTATCAAGTTAATATGGTGTAAACGTGTAATGATAAGATAACAAGTTGACAAGTGGATCTCACATGTGTAATTATTACATGATACAAGTGAGTAATCTATAATATAAAACAAAATCGACTTCAATAAGTTTATCCGACAGTTTTAAATAAATTTATCGAACGACCACAAATATTTTTTTAAAAATCATTCACATTACACCGTATATTCAATTACGAATTATTCCTAATTATTTAATTATACGAGCTCTATTTTTCCCTTGGGAGGTTCATTTATTTTTTACACTTTACATTGCGTTTTTTGTGGCAATAAATTCCATGGTTCAATAATGTAGCGAATAGTCTTCAAGCTACCGGCCAAAAATTTTAAAATAAATAAATAGAAAAACAGCAAAAAAGGATAGTCTTCAAAGCTTGATAATATAGCTAAGCATTTTAGTTCTATTGTTTAGATTAGATCTAAGAGAATAGATTGTTGCAAATGGAGGACAAAGTAGCCAATAAATAATGCAAAAAAATTGATATACCGTTTAGTAATATTTTTTCTTAAATCAAAAAAATGTAAAAAAATAAAATAAAATTATGGCTTGTTAGTAGAACTAGTGACATATATCATGCATCGTTCAAAAAAAAAAAAGAGATATCATGCATGCACAATATCTTTTACAATCAGTGTAAAGTCTGTTCGGTTAGAAAAAAAAATAGTGGAAAGTGAAAATGGTAGAACATGAAGTGAAAGAATGAAAAAAGAAAAGAAAATATATTTTCTTTCATGTATTTGGTTAACTTGAAATTTTGGAAAAAAAATTTAAAAAGAAATCCATTCTAATGTTTCAAAGGTAGTAAAGTTGCTNACTTTCTTTCATGTATTTGGTTAGCTTGAAATTTTGGGAAAAAAAATTTAAAAAGAAATCCATTCTAATGTTTCAAAGGTAGTAAAGTTGCTAATTTTTTTTGAGAATTGTCTAAAATATCCTTCTCTATATTGAAGGAGATGTTAACCATGAAAGATTGTGCATTTATCCACCTATTATGATAAAATAAATAAAATATTATTAATGTTATAACAATGCATGATTGACACATCACCATTTTTATTTCTTCAAATAGGGATGTTAAAAACTTAAAATTTAGAAAATTAGAAAAAATATATTTTCATGCATTATTTGGTTAGCATGAAAAACTTATAAGTAAATTTAAAAAAAAAAAATCATTCTATTGTTTAAAAGACAAGAAAATTACCCTTAATTATATTAAATTGATTTAAATAAAAAATTTATAATTAAATTATCCTTAATTATATTAAACCAAGTTTAGTTTTATTGAGGGCTTTTTATTTTTTGGTTCCCAAGTTAGTGTTGTTGTTCAATTTGATATCCATATCCATGTATGGGAAAAGATAATAGAAGATTATGAGCAAAAAGGGTCAAGTGTGATCATTAGCTCACATTTCTTGGAAAAAAAAATTCCTTGTTAATTTTGCAGGAAATAAAAAATGTCTTATACAAAAAAGTTTAGTGGGCCTCACGATCTCATTTTCCTGGAATTTATCCCTTTTTCTTGCTAAACAAATAAGAAAAAAGTTTCATTTTTTTCCCTTCCTTGTGTTTTTCGGCATTTATTTGCTAACCAAACAAACTCTTAACGATCAATTTCAACTCGCGAGTGATGTTTTTATTACAACTTCAGAATTTTTATGTGATTGTTGTTGTGTCGAGGGATCTTTCTATAATTTTTTATTTTTTTTAAAATGAAAAACTATCTATTTCATTCAACATGGAAATAAATAATAACANGCGATCCTTCTATAATTTTTTTTTTAAAATGAAAAACTATCTATTTCATTCAACATGGAAATAAATAATAACATTCAGAAATTAAAAAAGCTTTAAACTCAGGTGGGGGCAGTTGACCGAACTTAAAAGAAGAAAGTTAGTCATTACAGATGCTGCCACCCAGTGAGATGCTGTGTTCTGAGCTCTAGGTTTGCAAATTGTTGCTGTTTCGGAGTACAAACTTAATATGGTTGGTATATGTTTGGCTATGTCATCCATAACTTTACCGTTAATGTCTCTTACAATTATTCTCACTGCAGCGTTTCAATTTCCCATTTGATTTGGAGCTGTTGAAAGTCCGGTCTGAGGATTAATATCAAGGGATATTACCTCTTGCCATAAGGTTTGTGCTCTAAGGATTGTGGCAAAGGCATTTGAGTCTTCGTGATTAAACACTTTCTGATACCGGGCCTTCCAGATTTTCCACCCTGTTGTTGCAATTTTGCCCAAGACTTCCAGTAAACGGGATAGGTTGTTAAAAGACTCCAGCAATGATGATGACCACTGAGAGACTGAAATTGGTAGCTCTCACGCCAGTCTAAAATCTAAATCCAATATCAGAACCAATCCATACCCTCTTGGTCCATTCGCATCCCAGCAATAGATGTTTAGTTGATTCAAGTTCCTTCATGTAGAGCAGGTAGTTTGGAGATGTCTAGAAGAGATTTTCTCTCGTAGCTAAGGCATTATTGCAGGCTTTCTACAATAAAATGTTTTAACCTTTGGGAGTGCCTTCATATGCCAAATCACGTGCCATAGCTTTGGGTGGTGAGTATAGGAAGAACTGGTTTCTAATTGGGGGGATTGTCTTTGGTTAATTTCCATCGAATTTCCTAATCTAATGGTATACACTCCTTTGGGTTTTGGCTGCCATATCCTTCTATCTTTTCTCGTTACCTTTTGGGAGAGGGATAGATTGGATTGTTCTTCTTTCCTATTCATTAAACAGATTTCTTGTCAAACCAGAGTTCCATTCCTTAGTTGTCTGGTTGATGATCTAACTCACCAAGGTTATGTCACATTCTTGAGGTTTTGTACAGGTAATTGATGCACCATCAAGGTGGGAAACCCACTTATCTTACCAGATTTTTACTTTATTCCCCTCCCAAACTTTCCAAGTGAGTCCTTTTTCCAACAACTCTCTCCCCCACAAAAGACTTCTCTAAACCCAAGATGGTCTGGCCCTTTTTTTTGGCTACCATGAAATCAGAAGCTAGGAAATATATGGGCGTTAGTAGACTTACCCAAAAAGAATTAGGATTTTGAATTATCCTCCAACACTATTTGGCCAAGAGGCTTTGGTTAAATAGGTGAAAATCTTTAAAACCCATCCCTCCTCTTGCCTTTACTTCCCCCATTTTTCCCAGCTTATACCCCTCTCTTTACCCTCTCCACTCCACCAGAAAGTCCTAACATATTTCTCCAATTTGTCACAAAAAATTCTTAGGGAATGCTAACACCGACATTGCGCAATTTGATATTGTCCAGACAATTGTCTTAATCAAAACCTCCTTGCCTGCCTGCGTCAAAAATAGGCTTTTTCATCCCTGTATTTTCTTAAGGTTCCTTTCAAGTAGATAGTCAAATACCTCATTCTTAGATCCCCCCACCTCACATAATAAGAAGACCAAGATATATTGCATTTAGGTGAAATTGTTTGCATATCTATCATTTGACTTAAAAGACATTTTTTCCTCCTCTGAAGTATTATTAGCAGAGAAAATAATACCTAATTTCTGGCAGTTCATAATCTGTCATGAAAATCTGTAGTGACCTACAAAATATTTATAATATTGGCAACTCCTTGTTCTGTTGCTTTGATGAAG